GATCCAAGCCAACAGTAAGCTGACAAAGAAGGCAATAAAATATAAAAGAATTACACTTAAATAATTGCTTGCTTTTTATCTTGAGCCTGTCATGCTGTTGGTTCTCAGTTTATCAAAGAAAGTCTGAAACTGCTGAAAAAATGGTAAAATTGTTATTTACACGCGACTGATGTGTCAGAAACCAACAACAAACACGAGCCAAATGTTGGATGAAAGTGGAGATTTAAGGTAACTTGTTGCGTAACTTTGAGAGGACTTTGGTTCACTTCTGCTTTTGTCTTTAAGTATACTTTTATTTTGTTGAACTCATCGACCAATGAAAAGATAAAGACCTAAAGATTGTTTAACTGGCCTAAAGTCCTTTATTTGGTTTTCCTTTTTCTTTTGGTTCTTTTGTAATGCACACCAAAGAAACTATTAAACTGGTTTGAGGTCTCCCCATTTTATTATTCTGCACTCACTGTGATACAAAATGTTTTTTTTATCCATCTCAGCACTTAAATGTGATACTTCAGGGCCATGATGTGTAAGCAATTTTAAGATTCTTTATTGAGTACAAGTATAGGACAATGAAATGCAGTAGCATCCAACCAGAAGTGCAAAAAAGGGCTCCTCAGTGCATTTACAACTCTGTTTGGCATATTTCATTATTACCTTTGTGACCTTTCCTCTTGACACGTCGAGGTACAAATGATTTAGCATTATAGGGCTCTGTTATTTCTCTCATTTTGCTTTGAAAAATCGACCAGTTAGCATTCAAGCTAACATCTTTTAAACTGCCAAAGTATTTTCCCATTAGGCGCTGATATTTGGCCACCCTAGAAATCATACAATCACACTTATGTGTTTCTTTAACATCTTGTCTTAATGTGGATTTATGTCTTATGTAAAGCACGTCACATGAGGGCTACACATCTGAACTTGCCTTACCCTTTGCTCATGTAATACCGGTCTGTGTTGTATTCAGCTGCTTGAACAAGCAGACAGATGGTAATTACCACCTTTTGCATTTGATATGCATGTATAATAACTACAGTAATAATTAAATCAGTAATAATTTAAGTAAAACTATAAAAAAGTTGAAACGGTATGCTATGTTTGAAACTTGAGCCTCCTCTGTGTGGCTCTGACATTAAGATATATGGTCTGACTGGCCTGATTTTGTCTAAATCTGCTCCAACCATTAACTCATAATTACAGCTCTGACAGGATTCATCTTCATGAAGCATCGCAGTCTGAAATTGTGGCCAATTCAGGAGCGGAAACCCCAATCAGGTTGGACCCTCTTTGTTCTGTTACAGGAAGTAATTATTCTTAACCTGGTGGTTAATTAAATATTGAGGCAGCTTAAATGGCTGTGCCGTCGCTTTGCTTTATCGGTCACTTCCTAAAATGACAGTCTCCATCTCTTTTCCTCTGCTCTGCATCTGAAGACGAACACTTCCTTCTCTTGTCTGGAACACAGTGGCCCCAATCAGGCAAATCCACGGCTGCAGTACATTGTGTTTTAGAAAATATAATACGAGGAGTGCAGCTTCCCTAATAGGTTTTCAAGAACATTTCAGTGCAGAGTGGAAAGTTGGTACGGATTTAGACAACTCAGACAGACATATTGAGAATTGTAGAATACCAAATGTATTTGCCAAAAATAAATCCACTAAAAAAAATAAAAACCTGCTGAGGGTGCAAGCTTTTTTATTGGCGCTCAGCCCCTTTCAGCAGATGAATTTTGATATTCCAGAGGAGAGGAGTGTGGGATTACAATCACAGGCAATCTAGTGTGGAGTTATAATCTGCTCCGTCTACGCTCTGCTGTCTCTCCCCGGGCTGATTTTATTCTGTATTCAACCAGGACACTTAAGATCAGATAAGAATCCGATTTTTACAGTGATGGCCTGGAAAATGAGAAATGGCCTCATTAAGGGAATAATGGAGAGAAAGAAATAATAATAGAATGATGGACTGATAAAGTGTAGGAATCTGACATTTGGGGAATAGTTGAATGGCTTTCTTGTCAAAATTAACTAACTAGCTCATTTAGCTAACACTAGCTAGATCAAAAGATTGATAATTTACCAGTCATGTTTCTTTGCTAGCTAGTAGCCGGTAAGCTTAGCTTAGCATAAAGAGTGGAGACAGCACACCTGGCTTTGTCCAAAGGAAATTATTACTCCTGTTACCAGCACTACTAAAGTTCACTAATTAACACATTATATATAAGTAAGTTAGTTAATATGTTTGCTTTATTTTGTTTCAAACAGTATACTAACGTTAGCCTTATGTCTGGACTAACTGGTGGTTGCCTCAGAACTGGTCCTGACCATAACCGCCAATAAAACATTGAAGCCTCTTTCAGTTTTTAAAAGTTACACTAAAGAGAAATAACGTGTTAATTAGTTAGTTAGCTTTAGAGTGCTGGTATTCCCCCCCCCACATTTGGAAAGGGCCCGGCTAGCTGTTTGTCTTTGTGCTAAGCTAAACTGAAATAAGCTAAGCGGATGCTGGTTTAGCTGTAGCCGTTAGCAAGCATGCTATCAATCTCTGCTTCTATCGCCACAAAATGTCCCGCTATTCTCTGAAGCACACAAACCAAATGAAATCGTGACTAAAAGTCACAAGTAGAAGTAGATATCAGCGGGTTTCTTTCTGTCCCGTCACATAATCTCACTACAGACTCTGTGTGCAGTAGATCAGTTCACACTGGGGCCAGATGTGGCTGTGAAACAGATTAAAGCTTTGTGAGGATTAAAGCGGTCCGACTCTAACTAACGTCCCCTCCAGCAGTCCAACATGTGAACCAGCTGCACAGAGACAGACTTGTCTCTCAGGTATCTTTGGCTGCACGTTAACACAGCTGAAGCTCTGGGGACCTCTGAGGTGACGTCAGCACCTCTTCGCCTCGGTGGAATAACTGAAGATGACACGTGCTTGAGGCGTTTTCCATAAATCCATACACCTCGTGATTAATTTGACTTTTTGTTCTTTGGGGGGGAAACTGCCTAATTGGAATTAGATTAGGGTAGATTTCTTCAGAATAAATGATTTCACCAGTGTCATCACTGGTGTAAATGATTTCACAAATGTGACTCGACAGGACGGCTTTAATCATTCTTTCACGCGGGCAGTAGTGAAAGAGCACCACCTAGTGTCTACACCTGGTTACTGCTGCAGAGGTTTTGAACAGCCAAATACATTTACTCTGCACTGAACTTCTTATTTTAACACCACTTACTACTTCTCTATTATTCAGAGGGAGGTCAAGTACTTTTCAATCAACTGAGTTTACTTAACAGCAATAGCTTTTACTTATTAAATAATTAATGAATAACGACCCGTGTTTGGAAACTGTTAAATAAATGTACTGTCAGCCTAAGTCAATGTGTGGTAGAAAATAGATATGGCAATATTTAGAATTTACTGGTTTCAGTACATTTAGCTCCACAAATGTTATCAAATTGGCATTAAATACCTTCAGGGAAATAAGAAATACCAACATGACTGTAAAGATACTGGAACAGTTCTGAATTGCTCTCTGGATCTAAAGGAAAGTACAAAAGGAATGTTTTATCTGAAATGAGGACTTACTAGAATGCAGTAAGATAGTTGAAAATAAACACCAACTTTAAAAGTTGAACTTTTAAGGCTAATTATTCAAAATAAATCAGAATATGACCATGAAGACCTGTGGTGCAGCAAGTGTGTCTTCAGTTTAAAACATTTTGTCCACAAAACTGTTAAAAGCTCAAAAAAAAAAAAAAAAAAAAAAAAAAAAATTGGAAACAACTTGAATCATTTATTTTGGACTGAATCAATGAATACGAAAACATTTGGGGTTGGCTGACAATACGAAACCACAGGAAGTATTTACAAATGCGTTATCTACAAGAAGGAATGGGACAATTGATATCGGTTTCCCCAAAACCGGGCAGAAATAGAGAGCGTGAGTGCTGGACCACACGGCCTGAAAAGTCACAACACTGGAGCTTCATCACACAGGTGGCATCACTGGTGTGGCCGACAGACGACAGTTTATAAAACCTCCTGCTGTGACTCTCGTAAGACAGGAAATAAACGCAGTGATCATCGTCCACCATGAGATCCATTCAGCCCTCCGATCACTCAGGACTCGTCCCGGTCGCCTGCTTTCCTCTATTCTGCCTATTAAACAACTTAGGAAGCTTCTTCGTCGATCTTGGGTGCCAAGTAGTATTTGACGTGTCCCATATCAGCAATCTTGTACTCCACCACTGAAGAAAGACAAAAAAAGTTATTGCCACAGCAGTTCCTGTAAAGGTGTTGAGAATACAAACGAAGACTTTCCTACATACTAAAAACGGACGGAGGCACATACCGAGGGGGATATCGGCGGACATGCTGAGGGTGACCGTCTTAGACAGCGGCGTCGCCTTGGTGAAGAAGTTCAAGTAGTTGAGGGCAAAGATCAGCTGGACGGGTTCATTCATCTCAATAGTAACCTAAAAACAACGATTTGAAGTTAATGTCAATCGAACAATGGTTTCAGATCTTAAACAAGATGACATTGAATTAGTACAACTGGCCAAAGTCATTAGGTTACCAATAACCCAAACGTATTAGTCTGGCTCCAGCGTTCATACTCACTGCCTCGTCCTCTTTGTCTACGTTGCTGGTCTGGGACAGCTTGACGTTTCCTGTGCCCAGCTCTCCTGAGGCGGAGAACTTGACTCCGTCCTTGGCGCAGGAGATCATGACGGCGTCACCGATCTGGGACAGGTCACGGCAGATACGGGCAAACTCCCCAGAGGGCATCTTCACCACACAGCTGTACTCCTGCTCCTGGAAGGACAGACGGATAAAGAAAGGTCAGGGACGGTGTGGATGAAGTGTGTCGGAGCCAAAGAGACGGGAACAGGTAAGAAAGTGGCTTACTGGAATACCGAGCTGCTCCACATCCAGGTCCATCAACTTCATCTCGTAGTCTGAGACTTTCTCCTGGTCTGTAAGAGTGAGAAGAAAAGGAGGTAAATATGACGTTGATCCCGAAGAAACGGAGCTAATCAGCATCTGTGATGACGACGTCATACTGCTTCAATGTCAATATCTCAAAAACTTACTGAGCGTCTCAAACACCAGGGCGAGTGTGTCTGCATTGTCTTCTGCTCGGAGGGTGATGATGTCTTCATTTCCTGCGCACTTCAGGATTTTTGACATACTGTACGACAGGGAGGAATAAAAGACATGTCAAACCACTTGAAAGAAAAAGTAGTAGACTATTCTAAAGACAGATAAATCATAAAGGGAAAATAAATATTTCCCATCTTCAAGTGTATGTGCTTTTTCTCTCTTATATTACACATTTAAAAATTGAGTTGAAATTAATATTTTTGGGTCATGTGCTACTGCTCAAGTAGAAAAGCAATTTGATAATTTCCCCTTTAGTTTTCAGTTGCATTCAAACAAACTATTCATTAACAGTTAATCTGCTGCTTATTCACAATAATAATTAATTGGTCTATAAATCACATGTGTATTTAACATGTATACAGTGACGTTATAAAATACATCTACTGCTCTAAAGTACAGCAGGTGTGTGCTTCAACGCAAGTCATCAAAAGCTCACCAACTAAAATGATCCATAACACCAGTGTTATGTTACAAAGAGAGGCGGCAGTGCACCGGAAGTGGACGTTCCCGGGTTGAATAACAATTCCCGCCAAACATCCCGGCAAAGCATTTGGCGCTCAAATGACGTCGGCTTTCGAACTGCGCCAAATTTAATGTCACTAACGACACTGAACAATAATTGTGTGTTAAACCAAACCAGCTGTTCATAAATAACATGTGAACACCACCATTTGGTTTTGACCCAAACAGTAAAGGGTTAACGGCTCAGTCCAGCAGAGAGACATGCCCGGGCAATTCTCCCAAGATGGCCTCCCTCTTTGTAAGCTTCACATATTAGACAGTTATGCTAACAAAAGAGACTAAACTTACCATTTAGCCAAGAGCTACGTTACGTGTCCTGTGTGCACACAAACCGCTCAAACCAAACTTCCGCTGTTTTTACATACATTTAAGCAGCGCAGAAACTTTGACACGTCGGCCTCTCAAACTAAGTTACCTAACGTCACTTCAGACAGCAGATGCTTATGCTAATTTATCGGCGACAGATTGAGACACAATAAGAGTACCATCTGCACTAAAAGAGCGGTCTGCAACGTAGTGTGAAGGTCTTCACCTGCTGAGGTTCACTCCCATGGCCAGGTTTCTGTCGCAGCGGTACGAGTCGAAGCCGTCGTGTCTCAGGGTGAGCTGGACCAGAGAGACGTGAGACGAGTCCATGCTCTGCAGGGAGATACCGGACGAGCTGACGTCCCAGCAGGCTTCTGTGATCAAGTCCTTCAGAGCCTCCAGCACCTTCTTCAGGATGGATCCCTGCACCAGGCGAGCCTCGAACATGGTTGCTGTGGAGTTTTGAGTCTGCGTGGATTATAACGAAGAGATTAGTGGGTCGCCTGTAGCGTTACTCCGTCAGAGATGGTGAGACTGCTCTAAAAGTTCAGTCTTTGAGTTGTTAGCTAGCGGGAGCGCAGCAGGCAGACACCACTCTCACAGCAGAGGGAAGGTTTTGAGCTGGCAGCGCGCGCTAACCTCAGCTTTTAATGACTCGGCGTCTTTGCGTCACTTCCGTGTCCGTTGTCGGTACCTCCCAACCGTGAGTGAGCACTGATATCGGCCATCTTGGAGAGGACACAACAATCAACACAGAATAATACCACGTAATAACATGTTAACAATACAGGCAATATTATATAATATGGATTAAAAAAACGTAAATCATAATATAATATATTATATAATATGTTATTTATATGTATTTAGCCTCACACATACAAAGTAAACACATAAAACAGCAGATAGTGAGATAGAAAAATTTAAATTTAAATGTATTGTCCTAATAATTTTGGGGGGAATTTGTGACAAACAAAGTGCCCGAAGTGCTACATTCATTGAAAATGAATGTAGGAAAAGCAGATTGAGGAACATCCGCAGACTGTTGATATAACTGTTATCAGCTTACCCCCTTTTCACAAATGCACAACATTGCAACATCAAACCCATTTTTTTATGCAAACAAAATACACTGTTAAAAAACATTTCTCCAAATAAATTTAAAAATATTCTGCTTCTTCTCTTTTATTTACAAATTTGCAACATTTGAATTACTAAAGCAGTGTAGTCTCTCCCACCATTGCAGCGATACATTACTAAAACTACATACTGCATGTGGGGATACATTGAGGCATGAATGTACATATGTATGAGAGTTATACATTGTTATTCTTCCCCTCTGATCACTTATGTGTAATATACCTGTGCAAAAATAATTATACGCAAAGAACACAGTAAGCATTTTCCATTTCTTTTATTGATCAATGAGAGGTGACACACAGCATCACTAATCACAACCATGTTCCCAGTTTGTCGCACACACATACATACATAAAAAAGGACGGTAATGTTATGCTGCCATTGTACCCCTGAGTATATATATGTTGATTCAGGACACTTAAGAACAGGGTCAAGACGAGTGTCAGACATCTTAGAAAAGAGAGCAGAGAACATCTTTGCAGAAAAGCAATCTGAGGTATTAAGGAATGTTAGACTTACACATTTTGCATTACGTGTTGGGGCAGGGATTTTCATTTGTATTTGGGCCACTCCACATTTGAATTGGCATTGATTGCAGAGACCATGGTCTTTCTATACTGGGGGGGGTAACGTTTAGAGAATATCAGACAGGATGTAGTTGGTTGCCATGGCGAGGATGGGGGCTCCTGTTGGGACACCGGGGAAAGGACCGCTGGACCCAGCAATGTCAACGTGGGAGTACGGCAGAGGTGCGCTGGAATCCACACCATGCTGCATTGGATATTCAGAAATAAGAAGTAATACAAGTTAATCACTAAAGTCCATGTTGTATTTTTCACACTTACGGATAAATAATAACTTAGTGTGACAATATGTGAACACCTTGTCGAGTCCCGCGGCCATGATGAGGAAAGCTGCAGGGGTCTGATGTCCTCGAGGGGTCGCGGAGGACGGCAGGTTGTTGCACTGCAGAATATCCTCGTACTCAGACTGTCCCTTGTGGAAGTCGTAGTCCTCTCGTCGGATATTGGACACCTCGAACACGTCCCCCAGCGCCTCTCCAGCTGCAGGAGAGCGGACCAAGACCACGAGTTAGTTAGTGGTGGAGGAAATGAAGCGATCTGGAGGCATCACATCACTATGAAGCAGTTGTGCTGGAAGTTGTTTATTGGATTTGATTTGAGTCAAAATAGCAACATCTGCTGGGCAGTCCAAGTTATTGCAATTATACAAAGACTATCAAAGATATGTAGAGACATGGGTGGCAAATCTCACTCACTCACTCACTCACACCCCCCCAGGTGTTACGAAGAGATTGTGTTACAACCCAAAAGCATAATGCCTCTGGCCATGGCTGTCATACAAATTAACTTTCACTGTTAAATTTATCTGTATAGTTTTCTCACCTTTCTGCCACTGAGCTGCAGTTTTGTTGCGATGGGCCGGTCCGTTATCCATGATGATCTACACAGAAAATGTAAAAGAGAACTCGGTACAAACAATGATTGATGCATTCTTTGTTATTTTAATGTTTACATATCAATATGTCCCAGTACGTGGCAGTATTTCAGCAGTACTTACAGAGTAGTTGGGTCCCATGGCTCTGATGGCGTGACCAGTCAGAGTAGCAATAGTAAACAGCTGAGGAGACGTCTCACGTACCGCCTGCAGACAGACGATCAGAGCGAGAACGATAGAACTGCAGAAAATGAGTTACAATTTTAAATTGATTTAAGAAGTATTAATCACGGGATGTTCTGACCTTCTCCTTCATCTCACAAAGCAGGTCGACCATCGCCATGCGTCCCTCGGCATCGGTGTTTCCCACTCTCACTCTGCGACCCGCACGGGAAACCACCAGCTCATCGGCCACGTAGCAGTCTGAGAAAACACACACAGAGGGGCTCCAACACTGATCCCACTGACAGAAATCCAAGCAGGAACGTGCATGATGGGGGGGGGGGATTACACCGACCTGCACCGACACTGTTCCTCACCATGGCCATGGAGCCGACAACCTTCAGATGTTTTGGCTTCAGTTTGGCTAGAATCTAAAGAGCAGGAGGGGGTTAGGGAAAGAAGCGGTGCTGCAAAACTTAAAACAAATGCATGAAACTGAAAGTCCATGTTGGGTGGGGTGGGTCACTGACCTGGAAGAAGCCGGCCACAGCAGCAGCTCCACACTTGTCTCTGTGCATCCCAGCCATGAAACCTCCAGCCTTGATGTCGGCTCCACCAGTGTCGTAGGTGACGCCCTGGAAAACACCACATATGCAGTCGGTCACACACAGACACTAAACACGCTCATTTTCCTTCATTAAATTTCTCCATTAAATGTATTTCTCACATCACAAGGAGACTTCTTCAAACATCTTGTTTATCCTTCCCATAGTCTCTGACACCCAAAAATATTAAATGTACTATCATGTAAAAGAAAAGCGGAGATGAAGCTGGAACCAGGAAATGTTTGGCATTTTTTGCTCAATAAATGATCGAAATAGTTGCAGTTCAAATTTTTCAGATAGACTAATCATTCCAGGTTCAGTTAAAAAAAAGTGTGCATCTGTTTGCTCACATATTATTATTTTACAACATTTCCCTGTAATTCAGACCGACATCTGGTGTCTTTGGAAGCAGTTTGCGCTTGACTGGAATTTAATTTGCTGTACATTATTTACTTACTTTCATACCAACTTAAATGAAATTTGTTAGATCACCAAACATTTACTGCTACGGTTCCACCTCAGGCGTCTTTCACCAAACTACAGTTTGATAAAGCCATCATTCATCCAGAAGCGTTGTCGTGGTTCAGGACAGCAGTCTCTCAGTCTCCTCTCACCTTTCCCACCAACATGAGCGTCTTCTGGACTGGTCCCTCTCCACAGTACTGCAGCTTGATAACTCTGGCCTGGTGACGGGGAATGCCTGTATGAGGAGGAATCTATGAGTAAGTATGCAAACATCTTTTTTAAATAAATACATGTAACAGTGTTATTAAGAGATATAAACTAAATATGTTCTCCTACAGTCGGCACAGCGGTTGACGGCAGCCAGACAGGGATACTCCTTCTCCAGAACCTTCACGTCGCTCACCACTTCCACCTGGAGGTCAATAAACAGACACATTGTTAGGTTTCTACAGTTTTGGGGTCAGGAACTAAACACCGACACGCTTTTCCTGGACTGAGACTAAAATGGTTTCTACACATTTCCCTGATTCTAAGGAGGAACAGCAGAGGACTTTCTCCTAACCCAACAATAGAAAGGATGGATCATGATATGCAGGTTGTTGCTACCTTCACGGGGCTGTCCTTGAAGAGCTCCTGGACGTAATCAGCCACACGAGGAGCAGCCATGCGTTCGGGGTCTGAGCCGCCGATGTCTCGGCATGCCAGTCTGAGGAGGGGGAAACAGGGCAGCAGGTGGTGAATGAGTCAACGCCACCACGCGAGAAAAATCTCAGCAGGGGGTGAGGCGACGTGTTTCCAACCCACCTCCCACTCTCCAGGGCATCGGCGAGCTCCACCAGTCTCCTTCCCTGAGCCTCCTGAGCCGCCCACAGACCCAGAACACACACCTTGTAGTCGGTGGCTTTCACGTTCCCCTCCCTCACTTCCAGCGGCTTTTTGGGGGGGGGGGTGTAATTGTTTTTAATGTTAGCATGTTCACAGCTAGCATCTTATATCTAGGTACATGCAGATACAACCACAGAACACATATCACCTTTTTACAGTGTATTAGCTACGTAGTACTTCACATGACTACTTCTTTAAAACTGTTTACTAGCGGTCGGATCGTCTGAGGCGCATTAAGTGCAAAGTGTGAGATATTCTCTCACCATGTAGAGAGCATGAAGGGCCCCGAGTGCAGCCACCATGGTGCTGTTCTTGTAGTCCTTGTGTGGAGGGCAGACCAGCAGGGGGCGCTGCATGCCTGCTTTCAAGGCCCTGAAAAGGACAAGCAGGTGACAGTCCAGTCAAAGAAACCAGCAATATGAGACACTAAAGGGGGGGAGGGAGGTAAAACAAAATCAGCTCCTATCGACCGACCGTTTGATACCGTTGACCGCCGCGTCGCTGAAGCGCCTGACGTCGTCATAGTCGCGGTCCACCGGGCCGGTGGAGGCAAACACCAGGCGGTTACCAGGGAGACCAGGGACCTTCAGGACCACCACCTCCTCCCCGAGACCGCTGTCCACCTGGAGGGAGAGCAGAAGAGGAAAGTGAGACCACACAGCAACACTAGAACACATGAAATACCAAGATGGGTGCTAATTCTGAGATTTGGAAGCAAAACTATGCCAGAGTTAAAACTTCACAATCTCATCCTCGCAGTACTATTGCTGTTTACAGGAGTACTCAGAGTTGATCCTTTGAATTGCTGCAGTGTCTACTTGTGACCTACAGTCAAGTTGTTTTCAGCTCATCTATCCTGTTCACCGTCTTGTAACCAACGCTTCAGTGGAGAGGTGGGAAATCTGAATCTACCCCGAGCTCACGTTGGGCTGAACACTGGTGCTAATCTCCAAGTTGGATTCAGAAAGTCCTGATATGATTACATTTTTGCGATTCTTGAAAATCCTGAATATATTTTGAAAAGAAAAAATACTAAGTAACTGAATTTAAAGTCACTAATCCTAAAAACTGTTGTTTTTTTCCAGTCCTACATGAGAACGGATTGTCATGTCAATGTAGTCTGGGTGTGATGGAGACAAAGGGGGGGGGGGTCAGGTGAGGAAATACATGTTTCTGTAGTAAGCGATTGGCTGCAGGTGGTGGAAGAACAGAGAACAGAGGCTTACAGCGCTGTAGTCCTGCAGCGGTGCTTTCAGACACTCGAGCTCAGAGGGCAGCGTGTCATGGCTCCTGGTCACCAACACGATGCCATCAAAGCTAAGAAGAAGACAACATTATCATCATCATCATCATCATCATTTAACACAACTGTCTGGTTTAAGATGCACTAAATAACTTGCCAACAGCCCGGCAGCTAAAGAGGAAGTCCAGCGTTTCTGTCGATACTCACTTCTGGTTCTTGAGGTCGGTGGTCCATTCAACAGGCTGGATGCTGCAAGGAGGAACACACAGAGAAAAGTCACTTCCACTTGTAAGAGCAATGTCAGCAGTAGACAGAGTGATGCAGTTAGACTCAGCTTGTTACAATGCCGGTTGATGATAACAGAGAGGGTCAAAGTGTGAAAACCAGCAAGACCTTTGAGACCTGCTTTCTGCTGTTTCACCAGTTTGTGCATAAAGTTATAAAGTCGGATAACCAGTCTGTTTTTACACTCGCCAGACATTCCTGGCATCATATGACACACAAGAGAAGCAGAGTAAGATTGAAAGTGAAATCTCAGCTAACAAAAGAAAAAAAGAAAACGCCTTTGTGGAAACTGAATCCAGAAATGATTTGACTTTTATACATGAGAGGATCAGATGTTTTACTTCGAGCTGTGAATGATCACACAAATGAAGCATCACGGATATATCAAATGTCTAAATTAAACCGGTTGAATAAAGCACAGTATACAACAGCGGTGTGGGGGGATATCATATTTAACAAACCCCTCTGGGTCTCTTTGTGCACAAAGCGCACGCGGTGGAAGTCTACACTTTAGAAAACCGTTGCACCCAAAACGAAATAATCCATTTTATAATGAAAGCAGAATGAATCTCACCTGGTGCACATTTTGTCTTCCTTCTCTGGTGTCTTCAGTGCGAACAAGACAGCTGACTGACGGTAACAACGGCTCCTTCCCCTCAGTCCTCTCGGGTTGATCACATGATCCTTTAAGACGCACTCGTGCTGCCTCCGCGAGCTTCTCGCACCTCGTAATTACGAAACTTAAGTCGAAAAATGCAACTTTTCGTCCAACTGATATTATTTTTTTGTTCCCGTTGGATAAACTTTAGTGTATATTTATGTGTACTATCCACATACGTGAAATTGTTAATCAAGCTAACGATTGTGTCAGGTTAACGAAAGCTCCCACTGTACGTGAAGACGCATTTCAGGATACAGTAGGGAGTTGTAGTTCCTACAACTGATTAAACGAACGACAAATCTGCATTTACATGATTATATGACTAATATAGGAATTATTTCTTTACATAATATAATATAAATCACGGCTACACTCAATCACCGTTGAGAAATATATCTCTCCCCTGACTGGATTGACCCCGTGAACTACAAACACTAACCGGAAGTAGTTAAAAGCAGCATTTTCTGTGCACAACCGGAGAGGTGAGTATTAACTAGAGACGGTACAAAGGGCAGGAAATAAGTAGTAGCGGCCCCGGTCCTCTTGATATACAGTTTTATCTCAGCTAAAAATCAAACTGCAACGCTTCAGTTCGAGCTGCAGGTAGGCAGGAGTTAACCGCTACTGCTACCGTGTTCACGCGTTTATTGTCGTGATTATGATGATTTACAGCGATAGCAGGCACTGATAATTGTGCATTGTGGCACAATATGCTGACATGATTTGTACTTGATCCATTTCTGGGGCCTCCTCTCGACAAACTAGTTTGGCTACATAGTTGAGCTCTGATGTTATGAGTGTCGAGAGTTTAAAACTTCTCCTTCAGAGAGTTAAAGTCAGAGGAGTTTATAAATACCATAGGCAGGCCTGGGGAAGTTCAGCAATTTCAACATACAATTGTTTTCTTTTTTTTATAGTAACACACCAGAATTGTGTTGCCACAAGTTGTTTTTCATTACATTCAAGTGTTCAGCTGATTCAACTTCATAGGACCACTGCTAAAGAAATCAATTAATCGACTGGACTTTAATCACTGAAATGTTTTTTTTAAATGAAAGAGGAAGGAAAAATGTCAAACTTTCTCTGGTTCCAGCATCTTAAGTGTGCAGATTTGCTTTCTCTTGTATAGTTTTAAAACTCAGTACCTTGATTCGGAAACAGTCTTGGCACTTTGCACTATTTTAATTGATAAATTAAAAAATAACCATAAATAGGCTGATAAAGGGAGGTTTTCATGCGTGTGTGTAGATTTTGAGTTGATGACATGTGAATTCAATTCTCTCTCTACTCGTCTGTCATCTGCTTTCCTTCCTCTCCTCCTCGCGTCGCTCTCACTTCCTCGACAGATGAGACTTCCTCTTCGCTCCTTTTCCATCTTCAGGAGTTTGTTCCCTCAAAGGCGACCATCAGCGAACCCACAGAGGCGAGGCCTGAGCGGTGCGGCGATGCGCCTGGTGCAGTTTCGACGGTGTGGTGACGGAGGGGGCGTCAGGGTGGGAGTGGAGCAAGGCGGCGATGGGCTTGGCGTGGTGGATCTGAAGGCGTTTGACCCCTCCATGCCCTCGACGATGAGAGAGCTGCTGGAGCTGGGGGACGAGGGTCTGGAGCGGGCACAGAGGTATCGAACGCATGCAGTCTTATTACTAAATATATTTGTGTTCTGTTTGGACTCGTAAATCACTGTCTTCTTCCTCTTGATCCTCATAATCTTCCTTAATTGCTTTACTTCATCACTAATTCATTGTCTTCCTCCTCATCTTCTTCATAAATCATCGGCACGGTTACCGTATCCTCCCTAAATCATCACGTTTTTCCTGAATAAATGTAAATCAACCTTCTTGTTTAATCATTCTAATGTTTCATCGTCTCAAATCATCGCCTCGTTTCTAAATCAGCAACCTATTCTCGTTTAATCACCTTCATAAATCACGCTCATCGTTAAACGCAGATGGTAAATCGTCTCTTTTTCAATCATCATCTTGTTCCTGCATCAACACCATTTCCTCAAATAACAACTTCCCCTTCTTGAGGAATCATCTTCCTCCTAAATCATTAAAAGCATCTCATGTTTGAGGTGAAACATCTTCCTAAATGGACTTGTTGGAGTAGCATCTTCTCCCTCCATCCTGTCTTTGTTCCTACAGCTTCATCTACCTCAGCATCCTCCTCTTCCTCACTCCTCCTCCTCCTCCTCTCCTTTAGAGCCCTATCGTCCGGTCGGTGTGTGGTGGAGCGGTCAGACCTCCAGCTGCTGTCTCCTGTGTTGGCCCCAGAGAAGGTGGTGTGTGTGGGTATGAACTACAGGGACCACTGCCTGGAGCAGAACGCCCCGATCCCCAAAGAACCCATCATCTTCAGCAAATTCCCCAGCGCCATCACGGGGCCGTACGACGACATCATTCTGCCCTCAGAGAGCCAGGTGAGAGCGAGTGGCCAAGCTTTATTTATGTCACTATTTCAAAGTGAAAAATAGAGGTGACAAAGTGTTCTACATTAATAAAAAAAAAGTGGAACAGGGAGATATGAGAAACAGAGAAGACAATAAGGGCGGAACCTAAAGAAGTTATGAAATCAAGAGAAAGTCAAAGATGCCTTTTTAAAGTTGTGCCATGATTTGGTTTGTTGGACGTTCCAGGGACCTTGACTTTTCGGCCTTAAGCTCTGAAGATAGGTGTCTCCTCTCGGTGGTCTGAGCCCACAACAACTCTTAATTCTAATGTAGTGTTGAACTTTGTTTGTTTCCTAAGAGCTCTTCAGAGCCATCATGTGGATTATAGGTGTGAGCAGCGACTTTATTGCATTGCACTCAAATCAAATGTTACTACTTTACTACAGACTACAAACCTGCTTTGAACTAGCGTGTAGTTTGTACTGTTGCACTTGCTTCCTCTCTTCCCTGACTGAAGGAGGTGGACTGGGAGGTGGAGCTGGCCTTTGTGATTGGACGAGGAGGAAAACACATCAAGGTGAGCGTCGCATCATCACATCCGGCGGCCTCCCTGGTGGAGGAGTGCCTCTGACTCCGCCTCCTCTCCTCTTCACTCAGGAGGAAGACGCTCTCTCCCACGTGGCCGGCTTCACTGTGGCCAATGACGTCAGCGCGCGCGACTGGCAGATGAAGCGCAACGGGAAGCAGTGGCTGCTGGGAAAAACGTTCGACAGCTTCTGTCCGCTCGGCCCCGCCTTAGTGACCACTGACGCTGTGAAAGGTGAGAGGGAACAGGAAACCATGGCAGGGAGAGAGACACAATGTGGTGAATCACATGATGAATAGATTGGTGAAAACATTCCTGATGCATGTTTTATCATACTTTAGATTATGGCCAAATCAATACAGAATACATAAAAACATCTGATTAACCTTCGAGTCAAGGATATAAATCTTCAGGTTGGCATCATAAGGTGTAATAAAAATAATACGGGCTACTTTTATGTTCTAATTGAACGTTTTCAAGCTTGTGATAAGCAAATTAAATGTACGACTTTTAAAGCTTTAGGGAAGTAAAATAAAGCAGAATATTTATTAAGCCCAAGAATTTATTGGCATTTCTGTCACATCTGTCAATACTTCCCAGCATTACATTATGATACATTTTAATAATAGAATCACATAATGTTACCTGGACCCCGATAAGCAGCACAAAATTGAAGGATTAACTAATAAAAAAAACATATTAATCAATTTAAGTTTTTGCTTTAAACTGAGACTTTGTGATGATGCGCTTCCTACAGAAAAACAATCCAGTCCTACTTGTAGTCTACAAACCACAAAATAAATCTCATGTTGCTGCCTTTGGCAGGCAAGAACACACATTCAAGAGCTGTGTAAATTAAACTCGGGTCTTTTTGATACCGTCCCCCCTCCAGATCCTCACCGCCTGGGCGTCCGCTGCCTGGTTAATGGAGACACAGTCCAGAGCAGCAACACCGATCAGATGATCTTCAAGACGGAGGCGCTGGTCGCCTGGGTCTCAAAGTTAGTCCACTCTCTTTCTGCAACTTCACACATATTTACATAATATACTGTATACACACAACTTTGACATTTTTCTTGCTTCAGTAACTCCAGCTCAGAGTGCTGACTTTACATTTAAAAAAAATGATGCAAATGTGTCAGAAATGAATCCAAAAGAGGAGCGCTGTGCGTGCAAATGGCCTCTCCGTTCTTTAAGCTGGAATTACATGCTTCAACTAAGACCTTCCCACCACCACTGCCACCCTGTTTGCCCTGAAGGCACCCTGACCAACTGGAGCGTTCTCTGATCCGAGAGGCCTTTCTCCTCCCTCGGCGGACTCACTGGTGACGATGCCCACGGCCCCTCTCAGCGAGTCTCTGTTCACTCAGGGAGACTTTGGGGAAGTTGTGCGTGATTTTAATCTGCTGACCAAACTCTATGAGACACACTTTCCACAGTCAACAGCAAGTCATGCTCTTTGCTGCTCCTGCATCTGAACCTCCACCGTGTGTGTGTTATTTTTTCTCTTGTCAGGTTTGTGACTTTGACTCCAGGAGATGTTTTCCTGACAGGCACTCCTCCAGGTGTGGGCGTGTTCAGAGAGCCACCTGTATTTCTCAAGGTGATTTAATGTGGCAAACTGGCAAAATGCACGTAGGCTAAGATGCAGAGTTAAGAGACTCTGTATTGTGTGCAGTGATTTAATAGACAGAGAGGGGGTGGTTGAGTTTAGGAGGAGTAAAAGTTGTATTTTGACAAACTGTCTTTCCTTCCAGAAAGGAGACGTGGTGGAGTGCCAGATCGACCAATTAGGCTCCATTATCAACAAAGTGGTGTAAACTGCTGAGGAGCCACGATCCATGAAGGAATGTCAGCTGTTCAACAAACTGCACTGCCGATCGACTGCTTCGCACAATGAATTACTATTTCCACAAAGTGTCATTATTGATTTTTCTTCTGATAGAATCTTTTATAATTCAGAGTGTTTTTATTGGTGATGCTACAGTAATTGCAAAGGGAGGAACACGCGGTATTTTTACTCCAGGAAACGGTGTAATTACGTGACTCGATGTGCTGTTTGCAGCTCGACCTCAGCTATTGAGTCATAGTCATCGCCAGCTGTAAAAATACCCCTCTGGATCAGCAGCCGCCCACTCGTGCTGTAGAGGACAAACTGTGAACCTCAGGACTCTTTTTAATAATGTTTATTATTCATGATGAATTGTATATAATAACACTGTTCAACTAACTTAGAGGATTCAAGCATAGAAAATGAGCTTGCTAAAAACATGCCGTCTACAAAATGCGTCCCCTTTATATTGCGCTGGGAGAAAATTCTTCATAACAACTTCAATCTGCGCTTCGTGTACCAGCTCGATTCATTTTCTTTTGGCTTAAATCACTAAAGTTGACTTTTTCACTGATATAAACAACTTTAGAGAAATCCCGGCACTGAATGGACTCATTTTACAGTATAGATTACATCTGGCAGATTTGGTCCAAAGTAGCTTACATTTCTCCCAGGGGGAAGAATTCGAGGTTAACAACCCTATAAGTTATGAGCTCTGCCTCCTGAACTCCCCAAAGTTCACATCTGACTAAATGTGAAGAGCGAGTTGAGACAGATATATTCAAAGAAACTCCTGAAATAAGTTACTTTGCATCATAAAACAATAACAGTCTTGCAATAAATCTTACCTTCATTAAGATAAGTGTTTTAGAGAGGTGTTGATTCAACTATATGACAGTTTGTGGTGCATTGATTTATAATGAGCGGTATCTTTAATATTTATTCTGCCGACATTGTGATGGACAAAGTAAACACTTCTCAGTAATACAGTTGAATCCACACCTCAACAGGATTATTGTCGGACGGTTGTATTGGACTGATTGAGTGTAATCTTAAACTGTATCCCAATACAACTTAGTAATTGTATTAAGTATGTAGTATATCCAAAACTTTATACAATGCTATTTCTGCATTATACAAGAAATCTAAATACTTAACTGTTTTATACCAACAGGAAATCACACAATGTTTACGCCGTACGTTGATCAAACTGGTTGAATGTGTTGTTTTTAGTTTATAGACCGACTGTTTTTAGGATGCTGTACTTTGTCAACCTGCCTGCATCAGTGTGCAGTATAGCTTTCACACCGAGCTGCAGTGAGGCTCTGACACTCGGTTCAACACCGGGTGGCAGTAGAGTTTCACGGTCGACTGCAGCTTTTGGTTTGAGTTAAAATAAGGACAAAAACAGCCGCGCTGGCTCACGACTGTGTAAACGGACGCCTCCGAGGCATCGATTTGTCTCCGCGTCTCGGTGTAAAAAGGTGCATGTCGAAACAGACGCTCCTGAGGTCTGAGTCAGCACACAAAGATCTATATTCAGGAGGAGAGCAAGCTACAATGATGAGCTGTTTGGGGGAAATCATATTTATGAGAGGCAGCATAATATACGAGTGTAAAGCATTTCGTAACCAGTCTGTGCACAAGGAACTCATTCAGCTCGTGTGTGTAGTAGGCACATTTCTTTATTGTCAGCCTGAACATTGCTGAACTGATCAACTTGAGAATAAAGCACAACTAAACTTAATGTTCAGGTTACAAACTAAAACTTCTGCGGCCTTTGCTGCAACATAAACATGGTCGAAAACACAAGCCGCACCGAGTCCTCGCAGCTGATTGCAGGGACTTCATAACCCTCGTCTCCTGTGGCTTTATGCTAATGCTATTACTAAAGATAAACTTAAAATCAGTGTCTCATCACTGAAAAATCAAAATGCAATTATCCTAAAGGCACGAGCGTCCCTGCTCAGCATGCATCTCAACACCGAACACGAGCTTCTCTGACGCGGGCAGAGGATGAGGTCAGACTCTGCAACACAACAAAGCCCTTGAGTCACGCCGCACAGTTAAACACATTAATTGAAGAGGTACTGGGAGATGAAGCGCTGCAGCTTCCGCCTGTTTTCCGACGACTGGAACAATGGGCCGACGCCCAGGAAGACGCCTCCTCTCTGACGCTCCTCCGAAAGGACCTGAGGCGAGCACAGACATAGCGCTGTCAGGGCACACGCAGCCGTGACGCCTTTTTATTTACTCCCCTTTATTTGAGCACTGCGAGCTCGGAGCCTTTCTTATCTTTAGTGGGGTTTATTTTGCACTAGGCCGAATAAAAAAACAACACAGAAGTAATAACAGAGATAAAAACAAGAACACCAGAAAAGTGTGAAATAATAAGGTGAAATGGGGGAGCCAAGCTTCAGCCTTTTCTGTTGTTTTACAGGTTCATCAACACTAGAAGCACCCCCCCCCGGAGTGGAATTAGATGCGGAATCCTTTAGACAAGCCGGATAACGACCACTTCTGACCGACAACCTTGATAAGAAAGTTAATAACGGCCTCATGAGATCTGTGCAGATATATGGGTCAATGATGCTCTATTTTTAAAAGGCAGTAATTCCCAACCCACAGACCCACAGGCGGATGGATGCAGATCTACTTTATTGATTTGAAAGGCTTAGTGGTAAATTGTGAGAGCGGGGAACTTGTGCCGAAACCCTGATGAATATCTCTGGATAAAAAAAAGGCTGCATCAGACTTACGAGGGAGTTGCTGTGTCCTCCATTTTTATTTTATGACTAGAATCGGAGTTTCTCTTCAGTTCTCTGATTTTAAGTCGCCGTTTATCAGCTACATTGCCCTCCTCTTTATTATTCCTTGCTGCTGTTTGCAGAGTCTGTGCAGATGGAGATAACAGACGCTCATTCAAACCATTTTCTTTCCTTCTTGCACTTTATGATGAAAAGAAAAACTTTTGCCCATTAATCCATCGCAGTAAACGGGAAGCCTTTATCTGAACTCCTCAAAGTTGAGTACTCGGTCCATTGTGCCTGAGTGGAGTGTTTTCATATCAGGTCTCCTCACAACTAGGGAAATATGTCAGAGGAAACTTCAAAAATCACCTTACAAACAGGTTCCCTGCATTCAACATATTAATCTTACTTAGCAAAATGTACTGCTAGGGATTGCTCGGTATTATGGGAAATAAACGTGGCCGCTTTCTGGCTGAGAGTTAAATGAGAAGATCAATACCACTCATGTCTGTTCATATGAAGCTACTGCCAGCAGGCCATTAGCTTAGCTTAGCATTAAAACAGCATCTTTCATATCTGCTGGATAGTTTAATATTTAAAAAAAATCATATTTTAGAAGCTGATCATATAATATGTGTGTAAAATAATTATCCATAAAGTGACTAGTACTCTTCAATTGTGCTATACCTGCATTAACGCAGCCCAAACAGTGTTTTTGAGCTTTGAGAGAGTTTCCTTCTGTTTCATGCATGCAACTACAAAGACTGTTTGTTAAGCTCTGAAGCGCTGCCAAAACACGGGTGACCTACGCTCAATACTGTGCATGAACGCATCATGTGTAGAGACAGAGGGAGCACTGAAGCTGCTGCGTCGTGTAAAGAGCAGCATGAAATGGATGCACTTCAGTATATCTATGTCATATTTGTACTTCAGTACGCTGCAGATTCCAGCTATTTAAAGGCGTCTCTGTGACCCTTCACAGCTATTAAATCTGTGTTAAAAAGTGGATTTCAGATAATTTCTGAATGTTCTAAAAACCTATTTACATCCATTATAGTTTGAAACCTAACGCTGGTAAATGTAAAGTAGATACAGTATAGGCAACACGAGTAGGATTATAGGTCACTTGCATATTTTTCTCATCAAAGACTAAAATGTGAAACAAAGTGTTGCCTGTGCTACACTTTAAAATCACTTGTGTCCTTGGCCCAGTGAATTCTCTTTAAAGATCGACATTTCTGCCTCAAACGTGATTGGATATGGCTGGCTCGAGTCAAGCTCAGTTTCTCTCTCGCTGCAGCAAAATCAGATTGGATCCCTGCTCATGCTGAGCTGGAAGCTCAAGAATATTGTTGAAAAAACTTTATTGATTATACAACTCGGTATTTGAGCCGGATTCAGGAACGGATTAACGTTAAAATTGTACTTTTTTGAGAGTTGGACTACGCCTAAACATTCGGTCCAGAGTCTAGCTGTAATTCTCGGCAGACAGACACATTTAAACACACACACAAACACACACACACAGGCTGTCACTCACCCCTAGGTCTATTAGTGATCTCACTGCAGTGTGTGCCGCCTCCTCCGAGCAGCTCTCTGTGAGATACGGCACAAAGGCACACATGAATCAAAAGAACAGACAGATTTCCAATATAGAAAAACCGGGTCGGGATAACGGAACACAGCAATTACAAGTGGGACTGATTACTTTTTTATACTTTGCATTATTAAAGTGTGTCATTTGGGTAGTCCGATTGTCTTATATGTTTTTTTAAAAAGAGAGCATGTGATGTGAGATTGTGGGGGTGGGGGGGTCTCTGCTGACTTGTTACTCGCTGAATCAGTGGGAAAAAAAAAAACGAGGTGACAAGCTCTTTAAAGTTACGACACAAAGAAACAGCAGATCTTTGTGCGAGTGTGTTCCTGGGAGGTGATGTCAGGTTTGAGCTCACCGTAGTGCTGCTTCGTCTGACTTGCTGTGTCACACAGATGGGAGTGCATCTGAGCCACGAACTCTGCCTCTGAAACACACGACACGCGATCATCATGTGTATTCATGACTGGGGGGGACACTGCAAACGGCTTAGGGTGAAACATAAACATCAGAGACACGGAGAGCACCATCAGCATTCATTTTGACTCGATGTCGAACTATTTTACGAGCTACTCTGGTTCAAGGCTTTTGCGTGTTTTAAGCAATTATATGTGTGTGTGTGTGTTACTGTTCCTTAGACATACACACCTGGCAGAGGTGTGTGCAGGAGGTCCAGACCGTTGGTCGCCCAGCACAGCGCCCTCAGATGACCAGCGAGCATACTGCAGAGGAAGAAGAGCATCTCTGGACACTGACTCGGCTGGCTTATCTGGGGAAAGTGGACAGAGGCGGAGGCAGGAATTTAAGAGCATGTTCTGCTACGATGAGCGCACAGCGAGCAAGTCGCTCGGCCCCAGGAAGTCATACGGCTGCGGGATACGGAGGCACAATATTACAAAAGGAACACTTTCATGTGGGTCCAAATCTCAGTACCGGCCAAGTAGGTTTTTTTATTCGCTTTCATGCAGTAAAACATTTAAGTTTTATTAGTAGAGGGGATGGACAAAACAATTGAAACAACAAAAGACTCAACCTATATCTTTAGAGGACCATACACCATTTTCCTGTTTTATTTTCTTAATTTTAATGTTATCACCCGGGGGGGGGGGGGGGTGCAAACAACCAGAAATGTGCAAGAAGGACATAAACTCTCATTCTAATGTAATGCTGTTGTTTCAAATGGCCCTTTACACCCCCCCCCCCCCCCCTCTCTTTTTTTTTATAGCAGTAGTTATTGTAGAATATAGCTTTATGTTTTTTATTTTATTAGGATGAGACAACTTTGCCCTCCTCAAATGTATGAACACTACACGGTCAAAAGTAAGTGGACTCCTGAGCATTGCACCCACATGAGATGTAGAACATCTCATTCCAAATTCATGGGCTTTGATCTTGTGCCATACCAGCCTCCACTCTTCTAGCAAGGCTCTCCACTAGATTTTGGAAGCTGGCTGCAGGAATTTGCTCCCATCGGGCCACCACGGCGCTAGTGAGGCCGGGCACTGAGCCCGGCTCACATTCGGGGTTCAAAATCATCCCAAAGGTGTTGCATGTGTTTGAGGTCAGGGCTCTGTGCGGACCAGTCTAGTTCTTCCACATCAACAACTTATATCAGCGTTTTAGTCATGCTGTCATCTGGTAATGAGAGAGACCAAGAAATGTGTATGGGGCCATTACAAACATGTAATATGGAAATAGAGGACAAAGTTTGTATTGTAGAGTTAAGCTGATCCTGTGTAATTGCCCTGTAGTCCTAGTTCATTACACATCCATACAAAACCACGATGAAGGATGCTCACACCAGTGCTGCAGCAGATACAGAGCACTCTTTGCTCAGCGGCCCTCGTTTCGTGCTTTAAAAAAAGTCTTATTTCATCCAGCGCGACGCTCTGAAGGGAGCTCATCCAACTCTTCAATGAGCAGTCGCCATTTAGTAGATTAAGCTAAATCAATCGGCGTTTACACAAGCGTTATGTTAATGTGAAGCACTTAGAAGCTTTAATACACAGTAGAACTTTAAAATCAGCAGAGAGAAAAGAGAGAGCAGTCAGAGCAACTGTTTATAGAATGAGTTGTATGAGCAGTAAAACCACATTAGGCCGCTTGGCAACAAAAAAAGAAAGAAAAAGAAATGCATGAAAAATGCACTCGCAGCATAATATTTAGACAAGCCAAATGAGAAGATTGAAAAAATAAGAAGAAGAATTTGCACAACGTGGCAGCATGTTAAGAAAGAATAATATAGAAGCTCATCACATATAAGAATACAAATGAGCAAAACACAGAAATGTTGGATATAGTTGGGGGTCACAAAAATATTTGTTTTCCTGCTGGAGGTCAGACATTTAAATATTACATGTACACAGCCATATACAACCCTGCCACCTCGGGGAATATATTCATTCTCTGCTTGCATAGCTGAGAAGCTTTAACATGAATAACTTAATAAACAAAGTGCCTTTGGAAAAACAATGTTCTACAAGGACAGTGAACAAAAATTACGCTTTTAAAAAGTCCAGGTGTTTGTGTATAAATCGCTAAACTTTGAGCCCACACAAGGCCAGGCTTTTCCTTGAGAATGTATTATTATAGCAGCTCAAATTGGATTACTGCGAGCGTGCTTCTTGGGACCACCAGAAGTGAATTAAGTCAGGCTAACTGATAACAGGTACGGAGGTCTGTTCTGACCCCGTTCAGGGCCGGAGCCGAGGCACCGGGAGGAGAACAGCGAGTGCGTAGCATGGAGAAAAGGTAAAAAGTTCAGAGTAGAAGAGTAAAAACATTGATGAGGCTCTTCCTCAGCAGACAAAGCTGAAGTCAGAGAGAGGATTCTATACCGGTGTGGAGGTGGCAGAGGTTTTACCGGGCTGACAAATCAACATTCCTTCACAGTCACAGTGTTGCTTAGAGTTTCTGATGAAAGCAGAGAGTCAAGCAGTGGCTGTATTGGATGATAGTGTGCGTGTCCAACCCAGCTGGGTGAAGGTCAAGTACAAAAGCAGCACAAAGCAAAGAAAAAGAGAGGCCGTCCGCACACTGAATACTCCCAAGCTCCCAAAGAATGTTGCAGTGACGCAGTGTTTCAACCTTCAAGGTCTTCGTCAGAAAAACATCTATATATAAAAACAGCAGGAGAGGAATCGCACTGTTCCAAAGTGATCTATACTGTGCAAGAAAACACAAAACAAGCTGTCCTGATCTCTTGAGTTGCCGCCCACATCTGCAATATGATTCAAATGGAAGTGAAGGTGTGCATATCCAACTATCTATAGTAGGACAATTGTATGTTTTTTTGTACATAGCTTTGGGATGATGG